CCGGTCGCGGCGCGATTCCACGCGCTTTTATTCGTCGACGGCGCGTTTGCTCGCGCGACGACGCGACAACGCGGCAACGGTCCGCGCGCATTGTTCGTCATTGAATCCATTATCTTGCTGCGGCGTTCGAGCAGGGGGAGGGGCGGTGGAAGCAGGAGGGCCCTTAATAGAGTTCCCTTCGTAACCGCTTCCTGCCGGCATCCCGAGTCTGTGTGTCGCTTATTTTACGAGCCGCTTAGCAACGTGGAAGCCGTCGACGCTGCCTTTCTCCCTTGTACACTTCGTTCATATTAATTCCACGCGGAGGAGGCTTTACGGCCAGTAAACTCGGCTGAACGCGCTTAAGGGCTCGCCGCGTCCCCGTCTAATGCAGTCTAATGTCGCCGGGGTTTATGCAGCCGCACGGAGTCTTACCGTCCTCCTCCGTCGCTGGGTCGCGCCCGTTGATTCTTGACGGACAGATCGCTTCGAAACGTTTCGCGCGCTCGAAGGAACCGGCCGTTCGAGGCCGGGGACCCTCCACGAACTCGGGAGAGCAAGAGACGACCGTCGGCCGTCCACTTTCGCCCCGCAACTTCGCGCTGCAGCGGTGGTCACGATTTCCGATGAAATCTATTAACACGTTAATGGATTCCCATGGACGAAAGGAGAATGTCGCTCGGAGATTGTGAATATTCCATTCCCGCGACGATGGAAGGCACGGAAATCTCGAGTACAAAGCGCACAATTTTTACTCCGTTTAACCCACGGTCGGAACGGACTATTGTACTTACGAACGGACGCGCGGAATAGGAGTTCCCAGTAATATTTGGGCGTCGCGCGACAGCGCCGAGCAAAAATTGTGCGTATTATACTCGAGATTGCACGGTAATTGCTTCCCCGTCGCGGAACTGTTAACAAAGTAAGTCTCGCGAGCGTGGTTACCGAACAGATGACAAGGCGAGGGATTAACTCCGCTAATGGAGTAATTCCGCCCTACTTCTCCAGTCTTTTCAGCTCCCATCTAAGCGTGCCGACGCTCCGCTGCGATCTACTTCGACGAAGCTTCGATTGTTCTAATTTATCCCGTAAGAGATGCTTGTCCAGCTGCTTGTCCAGCGACCGGAGTCTTCTGTCTCGAGGGAACTAGATTTCCCGGGTGTTTCTTGGAAACAACCAGGCGCGATGCTCCCGAATCGAGCAACAATGGTTACGAAAATGAGAGAACACGGGAATTGTTTCGCAGGTTCAGGCTCTGGATCCGGAAGCAGCGGCTGCGCCTCCAGCACCCTCGGCACGCTACCCCTGAATCGGTGTTACTCGTCCCTGCCGCGCGGCGCTTTGGCCGTGTACGGCAGTTTAACGAGGCCTGCGACCCTCCCGCGGCTACCCCTCGGTCTTGGCCTTGGTCCCGTACCCGCCACCGGGAACGGACCGCTGCCGCAGAACGACCGAGACAGGGACAGCAACGGCAGCAGCAAGAGGAACAGCGACAGCGTGCTGTGTCATCGTTTGCCACTGCTGCACCCGTTACCCACTTGCGACGTCAGCAGCCACCAAGGAACCGGCTTCCACGAGATCTTCAACGCCATCAGGTGAGCATTCATTCGGCTTTCCACGTCAGAATCACCTTTTAGGTCGCAACGGTGGCTAAAGTATTACTCGACGAACGCGAACGGTTTTAGTTCAATTCTCGTACCAGTTGCAGTCTTCGTGTTTTTTAATATTAACCCTTTCACACGTTAATGTCACCGGTGACTGACGCTTCCGAGTGACTAGAAAGCAATCGTGACATAACTGGTGTGAAAATGTAAACGTAATGCGAAATAATCATCGTTCCTGCTTTTCTTTGCTACAGAAGAAAACTCTATGAAAAAGCGCTTAAGATTTTGCCGCTTAACGTGTTAAGGACGAGGACTTTCGGGAACGTTGAGACTGTTCAGCGGAGAAACTTGAATATTGAGCTTATAATAGAGAAGAATAGTTGCAGTAATCTCTTGCTGTTTAAATAGTTCAGTGATTTGTTTGCACCGTATTCGAAATATGAAAGCTTGATGTCGGAATAAAAACTTCCCTCTTCAAAGGGTAAATACGATCTAGATCGCGTGCGTTCGCAGCGATACAATCTTATTAGCTGTCCCGCGTTCTCTCGTCGGAAACTGGAGCACCTCGGGATGCAGTCGAGATAAGTCGGAATTTTTGTTCGCTATTCGAGGCTCTTATCTCCATCGGTAATCCGCGGGATATATCATGTCGAGGAACCGCTCTGTCGTTCTATCTCGAGGTCCAGAATTCCGGCGTGTTTAACCGAGCCAGAAACCGCTGGTCCGTGTACATCCGCGCGAGTTCCCAAGATTCGCTTCCCGAACGGCCGCTAAATGAGTTATGGAAATTAAGGAGACGAACGAGAGTGGCCATTCAAGAAATTATACGGACTTCCGGCGGAGAGTTCCGCGCTGGTTCTCCTCTTCCGCATGGACGACTGTCGGACCACGAAGAGTTTGAAGTCCGGCTGGTAGAGAACCAAAGAGAAAACGGCGGAGAGAGAGAGAGAAAGAGAGAGCGAGAAAGGTATTCGTCAACAACGTTCTCGCAAGGTCGTCGGAATTGCGAAAGTTGTTCTCGCGCTTTCTCGCCGTCGGCGGAGCGACGACTCTTGCGAATTATTCCCGCGAACTTCCGCGCGACCCTCCGCCTCGGTATTCGCCGCCGCGGCCGGAAGTTCCCCGGAGTTTCGGCCGGAAGCGCGGAAGCTTCTTTCCACGGAACTTTGATTTTATGAGAGTTGATGACTTCTATTACCGTTTTAGGCGATACGGAGTGAATTCGCGCCGAACACTTCGGAGTACCGAGCGTGCGACTCGTGAGCCGAGTAAACCTTGATATCCCGAAGACACTTGGAACTGCCATTTTCATAAAATCATAATTACTCTTACAATATACCTTCAGCTCGTAATCCTTGCACGCCGCTGTAATATCCGCGAACGGCACGGAAGCCAACGGCCTTCCGCCAACAGAAGTCAGCTTATATTCACGGGAACCGAGAGACTTCCCGTGGTCCTTCGCGCGGAATAAAAATCGTCACCTGCCGGTCGCATTGACGCAGTCCGCTGTTAACTTCAGGCCTCACCTGCTCGTCACCTGGACGTGTCATTGTTCCCAGTCGCGTGGCTTCGAAAAGTCCTTTTTCCCGAGGCAAGAACGGCGCTCCCTCGCCGCGTGGCAATACAAGAGCGGAAACGTCGCGCGCGAATGTTCCCCGTGAATGACCCCGTTGAAACGTCTCGTCAGTGGTTCCTTAGACCGGTCTAATAAAGGAGCGCCGAAAGTTCAGCTTCGTCGCACTTTTTAATCTCACCGGACTAAGCCGCTCTGTTGACCTTCCCGTTCCGCAACTCGCGGCGACGCAACCCTCGCGAACTCCTCGGGCCGTAATCGTTTCCGCAAACAGCCGGCGCGGAAAGTTACGCGGACCCGGGCTCCTCCAATTTACCGTGGCGCCTTCGAACTGGGGAACTCAGGTGAAAGGAAGCGGGAACTCCGGGGGGATAAAACGAATTACGAGCTTGTCCCCCTCGGCTATTTAGGCCGACGCCGCGGAACCGGGAAGAAAAACACGGCCGCGCGCCGTTATGAATGCGTTTACGAGCGATACGTCGCGCGACGGAACACGCGGCGACACCGGAAGTCCGCCGTCTATAACCCGCCGCGCGACCCATTGTTTCCTCATTTACGAACAGACCTCGCAGCGGCAGCCCCTGCACGCGAGGAACGGCTCGCTGTCCCTTCGCTTTATCCTCGCCTTTGTTTCCGCCGCTTTCATCGAAACTCATAATGGCCCTTTCGAGTCCTTTCGACCTATTTCGACTTTCCCTGACGTCTGTCAGCTGTTTTCGCATGTTTTTATTCGCTCGCGATGACTTTCAGCGGCAGGAACGTTCGTCGTTGTACACCGAGTTGCGAGATAATTGATAGCGCGAAGGTCATCTGTCGGCTCAGTGGTATTTTCGACGAAACAACTGGCGCGGCTGGTCGGAGAGACGAAATATTAGGCAAACGTCGGGAAGCTTCAACAGTAGAGCAGACTTTTTGGGATTGAAGCGAAGCGGAAATGAACGAGCGGCCGCCGCGCGACGAAGGAAACGGTTGAATCGCGCCGGCACGCGAGTCAGCCGGGCATGGACGTATAATCTCGGGAATATTTTTCCCAGCGGAGGTCCAATTTACTCGCGGCGGACGGGCTCGAGTCCGGTCGCCCTGTTTTTAATTAAAAATATCACTGTCGCCATTCATACACGCGTATCTTCCCGAGCGCGAGCCACGTTTTTCGGTTTCGTTGAAATTTAAGGGGACCAAAGCTCGCGTACCTCTCCGGGACGAAGGAATGCCGGGACATTTCTCCGCGTAACGAAACACGGAGTTCCGTGCCGGGAAGGGCTTCAAGCATTTAGAACGCGCGAGTCCTTCCTTTTTTCGGGTAATTAATTCTTTGACCCACCCCTCTTATGCACTAGAAAAATTGCCGGCTCGCTCGAGCATCGTTTAAAAATTCGTCCCCTGGTAACCGTAAACTTCTGCGCGTAAAGAAGCCTCTGTTGCGACGAGCTTAAAAAATTCGATGCAGGTCCCTTCAAAGAATGGCCGATTTCCGTGACCAGGCTTTGCAGACAGTCCTGAAAACGTGCCAGGCTCGTCGACCTCCATTTGAAAATTTGGCGCGCGGCACTCGACGTTTCTTGCAGCCCTTCGATCAGATCTGGCTTCCCGGTCACTCGGTTTTCGGTTTCAACGGTGCCAATGCGACTGGCTATACTCCAGCGGTCGCGCGTTTAACGAGACCGACGCTGCTCTCGCGAGCTCCTGCACCTTCCCGTTCGAAAATGGTCGAAGTTCTCGGCGTTCGTCATCGAAACGCGTCCGCGGGCCGATCGAAATTTCCATCGGGGACGAAGTTTCGCTCGAGCTTCGAGGACGAAAGCGGGGAAAGAACAGAGTGAAAAGCGGGAAAGTATCGTTGGAAACGCGGCACAGTTAACGACGTTAAGCATCCGGACGGCCGGGTTATACCAGGACCGCCCCGGAACTTCAGACAATCTTCTTGGAGGGTAGTTAAAGGGAAACTACGGGAAGACTCGAAGTTCTCGAGCGGCGCAATTATCTCGTTACGCGATACAATGACTACGCGTTCCCATCGGTTCCCACTTTCTTCCGTCGCCTCCTCGCGTGCTAACGCGACGCGAGTTGGAAATTCTGCGACGCGTCGCGTTGTAATCCGTCGCTTCCATTAATCCGCTATTCCTCGACGCTGGGACGATGACCGCAGCCTTCTCAACACTCAGGCGACCGCCTAAACTACAGCCTCCTCCATTACCTTCAATTGAACTCGTTCAATTAATTCGATTAGAAACCGTTTTGTAAAAACAAGGACCGTATTTGATGAATTGCAAATAATCCCACTTCAAGACTTAAATAACAAAAGGAAACCAGAGTGAAAGGCAATACGTTGCTAAGTGAAAAGTGGGAAATCTCCCCACTCGGCTAAGAACCCTTCGCGTTCCTGCAGTTTCCAGTATTACTGAGCAACTCAGTCTAGATTGTGGTCAGAACCACATTCGACTGTTCAGACAACAAAAATTGAAGGTTACCAATATACAAAGTCACCGGCATACAAAGTGATTCTCACGTAAAAAATAACAACTCTGAGTCAATTCCATTTCTCTATTTATATAACGCTGCAATCGAAACGCAAAGTATATCCATTGTCGTTGAAAAATCTCACAGTATCCCCGTAATGTAAAAAGAGATACGACCATCGTATGCTCTTCTCTATACCTTACAACTTTTGTCCGAAGCATTCCTTCGTATCGCTCGAATTGTCCAGCTCGCCGAGTTTTCTCCACGTAACATCCGTTTAGCCGCGCTGCGCTCCGTAACGACGACAACGGGATCACAGGCTGACATTACAGTGTCGTCGCAGCAGCGAGGCGG